TTACATGTGCTGTCTTGAGCAGAAACTGCTTAGTGGCATTAGTGGCTTAGTGGCAATTACTGTCGTGAACAGCACAAACTGATGTGCAAGTCTAATAGTGTAAGTGTCCGTGGCCCAGTAACATTACGTCATTGTTTTTAAGCCAGTAGTTTGCAGAGTTAAGTCACGTGCGGAGTCTCGGCCCGGTGCGCACACAAAATACAGTCTGTATGCAGTTAGCTGGTTTTCTTGACAGAGGCAAGTTGGTCGTAAGTTTTCCACCCATGTTGTGGCGGCTGCTCGACGAGGGAGGCCTGCTGAAGTGAGAGCTACGGTACATGTAGGTACCGTTTTACCATGTTTATCAGCCTACCGGTGGGGGAAATTATTTACGCTTGTCAACTGTCAATGAAGAATGCTTTATGTTTGTAAGGATAATCTAAGGCCAAACTCACATCAGATTAACTCCTATAGGCTTGCCCGGTGCGAGCCGAAAGTGTACATAGTACTTGTTTTTATTTTGTAACTGTTAGTGTTTATTCATTGACAATAAATCACGGAATTTGGGGCTGAGAAATAAGATACAGAGGTGGACATTTGCACAGAGAAGGCACCCAGGAATGGGTACCGAGGTCCAGATAGGCGGTGAAACAGAGTCCTAACTCGTATCACACAGGTCCGATTTCCAGTAAGTGTACAATACATATATGTGAGAAACTTAAGTGTGGGTGACGTCCCTGGGTTATACATGTACTTGCGAATGACACCTGTGGATGACACTTGTTGGTTACCTTGTGGGTTAAGTTCTGGTTTACATCTGTGGTTTACCTTGCGGTTTACTTGTGGTTGACATAGCAAGTTTACTATAATTATACCAATTATCAGTGTAAATAAAACTGATTGAAGTGTGATTAAAGCTATAAATAGATTGTTAGTTCCTGCACAGAATTAGACCGTCCATTGACCTTTGTTGTGTCCAAATTGTTGCATGAATTCCAAGAGATTAACAGTCAGCTACAAATAGGTGGCAAATTGCTCCCAAAATGAAACCATGCTCCTCCGGCCCTACATGTAGATGGCTCTGACGATCTCCGCAGTTCTGACATTTTGCATTCAAGTACTCACAAGTCTGACAGTTCTGACATTTTGCATTCAAGTAATCACAAGTCTGAGATTTTGCCTTCAGGTTGGACATTCTGCATTCAAGTACTTGCAAGTCGGACATTTTATATGTGGTTTTGTTTGCATATAATTAACAAACAGGTGTGGTGGGGTATGTGGCTTTTTTCTTGATGTACAGAAAAATTTTTTATGAGGATTCTTACTGTTGAAGGACTACATTTACATACATGTGTACATGTACATGTACATACTTTTCGACTGAAAATGGTTTTATGTACATGTATGTTAAAAAAACCTTGGCATCTATAAGAAAACACAGAAAAAATTGAAAGGGTTTCATTACCTAGACATCATTTGACATCCTCCGTACACGTACAAAACCCTATGAGACTGGTCAGAAAAGTGTGCTTTCAGTGTAACTGCTTGAATCATACCGGTACTACATGGACATGTATTCATATTTATCACAGGTGTACAACTATAGCCCTATGCAGGTCAATCAACAGATCACCCAGGTAAAATCAACTGGGCCCCAAAAAGCAACCATCTCCTACAACTTCCCTCTCCCAGAAGAGTGCCATATCTACAAAGCAAAAACATGTCCAGAAAAGTTCAATTTTGGGAGGAAAAAAACCAAGTCGTTTAGTTAGAAAACACTTTGAATTTTTCAGACTAGTCCCATACTATAGCCTAGGTTTATGCACAGGCGTGTCAAGTGGCGTTCGTATATGGGACCCGCCCCCACTTACCAGTACCCTCCCACCCACCCGACACATGGCTGGCCATTCCCAATTCCCAACTTTTGAACCCCGGCCCACCATGCCCGGCCGGCCTTATCTCAAGGCCCATCACATACGGTGACGCGTTATCGCAAATATTGCATGGCTGATTTTGTACTTGGTAGGCCTAGGCCTTTTTGGGAAGGAAACAGGAAGGAAAGATATCCTAGATTACTCTGCTGAGTGAAATTTTAAAAATTGCTAAGCCTACATGTGAGTAGTACGAGTACCTACCAATAAGCCGTCACAACGACTGCAATCTGAACAAATTTTTGCACCAAAGACTTTCCACCGCCGTCACCTCCACCACCGGCATCGGGTGCTGTCGCCATTTTGTCGGCGGCTGTTCCCTCACCAACACCGTCGCCGTTTGGCTTCAGTTCCGATGATGAAGATAACGACATTGATTCAGCTGATAAGACACCTTCACTGCCTGCACCAAAACGTGGTCCTGGCCTTGCTCTGCCACGCACACCTTTCACCATTTGCACAAGGGATTAAAAAAAATGGAGTGTGTGCTAGATAACTCAACAAGTCTCCTCGTTGGTCCGGCAATCGACTAAGCCTAGCTAGGCCTGCTGCGCGCATAAGATCAAGATAGATTTAGCACGTAGAGCTCAAGAAGCGCGCAGCGCACAGATACAGTCAATTGAGGGCGCTGAACCCATCGCCGAAAGTTGTATCTTTTTGCGCAGGTGATGAGTTCACGGTGCCGACCTGCTTGTGTGCTGATCTCGAGATCAGTGTTAATTGTAGACCTGCATATGTAGGCATAGGCCCCATCATTCATTATTTGCCTTGCAACATATTTTGCATCGATTAAACTTATTCTGGAGTCATAGCTTGTACATGGATTTGTAAGGTACTTAAGTTGTAGTTCAGTGTCTGCTTTACCGATATCAGACAATCTCAGCTACACCTAGGCCCTACATACTGACACAGGTATTCCAATCTCGACGTCACGTCATGGACTGTATATACTGGACTGGACTGGACATGCTGGACGTGTGCATAAGGCGTGAAGTTGAATGAGGTAGTTCTGCTGCTGGCTGGCCAGGATTAATTTTGTTGATTTTTTGGTATGTACAGTACTGCATCAGATTACCACTTAGGCCTAGGGCTTAGGCCTAGCGCCTACCTCCAGAACTGTAGGATGGAGTTCGTCGTCTGCCGTGTCGTAGTCGGTGGTGCATGGAGATGGGAACAGGGGTGGTTGGAACGATGAACAGACGATGAACCCGGCATGCCCGGCCACGATTCTGGGGTAGGCCTAGGCCTAATCATGCTAATTATTGCCACAAGACAATGACTGCACAGTTCATATCAATATCGTTGATGTACGGTACGTGTGATCTAGTACATGTACCTGTAACTGCTAACTGGCCCCTAACATAGCCTAATGCATTTTTGGGGTGGGCCTCAAATGTTAATGTCTTTA